GGGGGGGGGGGGGGGGGTCGCAACATAGAACCCTGAATATACCATGGGGATGGTCACAGTTAGAGGTTACTGCGACACCAGGACAGCAGACGTCCCACCAGGGGGACGGTGCTGCCCCCAGCTGTCTGGGCAATGGCCCGACTGGCAGACGGAGATGTCCTCAAGGTGGGACAAATTGAGACAGGCACAGCCTGCTGGCCCCAGACTGACAGGAAGTACCAGCCATGGTGAGGATTCAGGAACACAGAACTAATAAGGACATTTTAACCTTCCAACAAATCTGCAGAACTACCAGATTCCCACTGCCCAGCACCTCTGTGTGCCATCGCCATGGAGATTACGGATTGCGGGGTCAGCGGTTCACGGACAAAACGGTACGTCACACCGAAACACATGCAGAGGGTTTCAGAGTCCAAACCCCACTGCATCCCCCGGGCCCCAGGCAGGTGCTTCCATTAACAGCAGAAAAAACAAGTACTAGGAATTGATTTACTAACTGGAAAGGAGGCCAGAGACAGGGGGGTGTCCTGTTGGGGTGGGGGGGGAGGGTAGACTTAAACAGGCTACTCACCCTTCATCTGTCCTCCTCTGTCTTCAAAGTGCCCTCAGGTGAAGTCTTCTGAGTGGGGAGGCATAAGGTGACATCTTCTGTAGTTTGGTAACAGCCAGACCATAAGATACCATCACAAAAACAGAAAATCAGTCCCAAAATCAAGGCGAGCTCAAATTCCTCAGGGATTAACTGAGGTTATTAGATGCTCAAAGGCAGATGAGAAGACGACAGACCGGGCCACCGCTATAGAAATTAAGACTCGTTAAAGCCGAAAGCCTGTTGTTCAGTAACACGGGGGATACTCTTATTTAACTAGCCGTCGGGCGACCCTCAACCTTTGCACTGTCTGACACCGTATAATTACAGCATGTATAAAGAGACTAAAAACAGCAATACACCATATTCCTACAGATATAAACCAGGAGCAACTTCAGCCTATTACCTAAAAAAAAATAGTGCAGAAAACTTCAGAAATTCCTACGGAATCAATTTCAGTTTCATCTCTGCAGCTGTCAGATTTGAATGGTTTCTGTCTTAAAAGACGTGGTGCAGATTTTGGCGATTGAAGTACAACATGTGAAAGCAGTTAAAGGAAAGGCTGAAAGGGGGGAAACAGGTCTCAAACTGCAGATGGAGATTTTAAAGAACTGGGACACAGACTCTGAGGTTCTCTAAAGGCAAAGCTAAGAATAAATTAACACCACTTTGCTCCACATACAGACCTGTATTCCTTTAATCTGTTTGACCTGGCAGCTGACATAATACGAGTAAACGGCAAAGTAAATCTGTTTTATTGCAAAAGGAGGTATATCGTAAACAGATATCTAAAGGATTTGCAAGATCGAGAGTTTGAGCACGGAAATGGGACCAAAACCCAAAGCAGCCACTACCGACACCTTCATGTATACCCTTTCCTGATCTGTGCGTATTTACGTAGACAAAATTTTTATTATATAATCCCAGCCACATGTCATGTACTTGGCAACAGATGGCACTTTTTCTGTCATAACACACATAAATTATAATAAACTGTTGATATTTTCTGCGCTACATGCATATATATATATATTATCATTTTAACTAGTCTAACTACCAAAACAACAGCAGTGTGTAAAAAAGCTGCAGGATCAGAGCAGACTGGTACTGTCCAATGGGGTATAAGACAACTAAATAAAGACCAACAAATCTGACAAATGGAGCCACGTTCCCAAAAGTTACAAGCAAGTCAGCTGTTAAAAAACATAACAGAGTGATCTCAGATGGAAAATAAAAAGAAAATAAATAAAAAATAGAACGATGCGAAGAAAAAGCTGAAGGGTGATTCATTTTAGCCAGCTAGCTAACGAGCAGCTGCTGGGATATGATAGGACGCGCTTCGGCACCTTCATCATCAAACAACACGGCGTTTCTGCTCACCTGAAGACGGACATAAAATACGCACATAACGCGACACCTGGGTCAGTAAGGAATGATGAGAAGGGACACCACGGAGCACTTTCCGATCGGCACGGCAGCTGTACTACAAAACGCAGTCCGCGGATCCCGTGACCAACCACCAGAGCGCAACCACATCCCCATCTGCTAGTCCCGCTGCCAACTCCGGAAGCGGTCATAGCTGGCCCTTCTCAGCGACGCCCAATCAGCGATGGGATACTCTGCTCCTCTGACCAATCAGAAAGCAAAAATCAAAGCTATTTATGCGGAATCCTACTGCGTTTTCACCAACACTGTCACACGTTGGCAATGTGCTTGAGAAGGAAAACGATTGAAGGTTTATTTGTCTGCGATGGGTAGGCACCCCGTCCCGGGTCGTTCCCTGCCTAGCCTCCGTAGCTTTCGGCTCCGGACCTGAATAGGAAAAGGGGATACAAAAAATGTATAGATGGATGGGTTAACTTGTTACGATTATTCACGCAAGTAAACAGTACACAGACTTCCCGAGGCAATGGTTTTATACCCACAAGCTATTAGCTATAAGCTGTAATTAATCGTTATTAACCTGTGAGTGTTTTAATATATAATATTTCTATAAATTGTTAATTAAAATTGTTACCAGTAGATCACCACCTGACCCTGCAGACTTATTTAAACCGAAGCTGCCACGTTATTCTTTTTGTAAAGTTTATTTTAACGATTGATATATTTATATGAACAGCTCCAACACGTACAGACTCCTTGAGTAACAAAGTAGCGTTTGTTGATCACAGTAATGATGGCGTTAGGGTGAAGTCGGAGGTGTTGTCTGTGATTCGTGCCTGTGAATTTCTGGCCAGGACAAAGAGAAGACTAAATTAAGTATTGTAGTATTGCCATTGTAACAAGCTCATTTAAAGCTGGGATTTGTTTATGTTTGGTTTAGTAATGCTAAGTTTTTCTGAGTACTGTTCTGACTGCTATTACGAGGACCGCCACTGAATAGCATTCCTATTGAGTGCAGAAGAAAAACAGGGTGAAGCTTCAATCACAGTACAGCACGTTCCAGCTTTCTTATTAAATAAATCACAACCCAATGGTTACGAAAAATTCTACCCCAACAACACTGCCAGCATTTTAACCTTGATCTCAGGCCCAGTTCTTGTGCAACCATCAAACCATTAAAAACACAAGGGAATATTTGGCATGTCCTTGTGACAGTTTTATTTCAGTTTATTTACTGAAAACTTTCAAGTCTTTTAATGAATATGGGTATGAATGTATTGCTGCGCCAGTGACCTACTACAAAGATGTCCAGCTGTAAGGATTTTTTTGTTTGTTAACCGGATAAATGAAAATGCATTACAAACGATGTATATACACTCAGCACAAGGTCTTCATACACATATGAGTGTGACCAGTTTTCCCACAAAAAATTCTTGATTTTGCCTAATTAGGTACCACAGAAAACAGAGAAGAATAGACATATTACTTTATTGTTAACAGGTAATTTACAGTGGATATAAAAAGTGTGCACACCCCTGTTAAAATGCCAGGTTTTTTGTGATGTAAAAAAATGAGACCATGATAAATCATTTCAAAACTTTTCCCACCTTTAATGTGACCTATGACCTGCACAAGTGGTATAGCATCAATACCATCTCCCCCCTTTTTTTATAGTTTACAGTTGTAGTTTTAATGTATCTTTGCTACACCACTGCACATTGGGTAATTTACTACTCATTGTTTTTTTGTTGTTTTTTACTGCTTTTTTATCGTTTACTGAAATATTTTAGTGCTACTGCTTGTACTTGCTTCTTTACTTTCTTTGCTCTCTCCTTTTCTCCCTTAACTGGTTGTTCAGCAACTGCAGCAAAAATAATTTCCCTCCGGGGATCAATGAAGTTTTTCTGATTCAGATTCTACAATTCAAGTGAAAAACAAACAAATCTGTTGGGGGGGGGGGTGTAATGCAAAAATAAAAAATGTACAATTAGCTGGTTGCATAAGTGTGCACACCCTTAAACTAGTACTCTGTTGAAGTGCCTTTTGATTTAATTACAGCATTCAGTCTTTTTGGGTACACAGCTGCCATCAATTAAAGTGGTTCTGATTAACCCCAAATAAAGTTCAGCTGTCCTAGTGGGATCTATCTGACGTTTACTCAGTTGCATCTTACAGCAAAAGCCATGGTTGGCAGAGACCTTACAAAGCATCAAAAGGATCTCATTGTTGAAAGGTATCAGTCAGGTGAAGGGTGCAAAAAAAGTTCCACTGCATTAGATATACCATGGAACACAGTGAAGACCGTCATCAAGAAGTGGAGAAAATATGGCACAACAGTGACGTTATCGAGAACTGGATGTCCCTCCGAAATTGATGAAAAGACAAGGCGCAAACTGGTCTGGGGGCTTCCAAGAGGCCTACAGCAACACTGAAGGAGCAACAGGAATTTCTGGCAAGTACTGGTTGTGTACCACATGTGACAACAATCTCCCGTATTCTCCATATGTCTGGACTGTGGGATTGGGCCGCAAGACAGAAGCCTTTTCGTACAAAGAAAAACATCCAGGCCTAGCTACATTTTGCAAAAAAAAAAAATAAGTGTCCCAAAAGCATGTGGGACAACGTGTTATGGTCTGAAACCAAGATTGAAGTTTTTGGCCACAATTCCAAAAGGTATGTTTGCTGCAAGAACAACACTGTATCACCAGAAGAACCATACCCATGGTTAAGCATGGTGGCGGCAGCATGATGCTTTGGGGCTGTTTTTCTTCAGCTAGTACTGGGGCTTTAGTCAAGGTGGAGGGAATTATCAATAGGTAATTGAATCAAAAGGTGCTTCAACAGCTCCCTGGGCGCCCCAATAGGTGGCTGCCCTTCACGGACAGCTTACTATACAAAGAGCAAGTTGAGGGAGGAGTAAAAACAATTTCCCCATGGGGATCAATAAAGTATCTATAGTATTATTATTATTATTTTTATTTATTACTTATTGAATGATTAATATTGGGAATGTCATTGAATAAATTAAATCAGTTTACCCCAAGTAATACTTGCCTGTTAGACTATATATTTTGGTTTGGCGAGCAGCACAGCTGGTTAAGGCTATGCCTGAGTAAAGTAGGTTCAAATCCCAGAATATTCATATCGTTAAGGGTGCTAGATCAGTGGTTTGCAACCTCTTTTTGTTCCAATTTACCCTGTGTCCAGGAAACTATGATTTGGGCCCCCCTACACAAGCCATGATATTGTCTCTTGTGTACATTCTACAATAATTGCTATTGGTGGCTCTGAGGCTATGGATCTGTGCCAGCAATCGGAAGGTTGCCGGTTTGAATTCTATGAACGTTTCTGGAGTGGTTCCTCTGTTGGACCCTTGAGCAAAGTCCTTAACCTGCAATTGCTTCATCCTGGGTAAGATGTTAACCTACATCCAGTCCTGCAAGCAGGTCCTCCAACTTACAGGGAAAGTTTGGGGGATGGTGGCAGAAGTGGGACTCCAGCCACTGGAAAAGACTCCATTTGAACTAGTGTGGTGCTGAGGTATCACCCGCCATGGCCGCACTCGGGTTCTCATACCCGAGCTGGTTTGACATGTGGTGGGTGCGGCGGAACGCTGAATCGCACATTCTCCTTACCCCTCTCTCTCCTCTGTTAATATAAACATTTTAAATTGGTTATACTACATAAACAATGCAATCTCTTTTGAACATTGCTCAAACAAGGTTTCACTCCACTACAGTATGTTCAGTTTATAGAATTACACTCAAAAGTTAATGTTTATGGACAAAAAAAAAAACAAACTAAATCTACGACGTATTTGGCAAATGGCTGTAACATCAGAAGGCTGTCAGCCAATAAACGTGTGCCTAACTAAAAAAGACTCTCATTCTTATAGGAAAATATATCGATACGAATGTATTTCTACGGTTTTCAAGTAAATTGTGTAACCGCCTCACCCCCGAATTAGTAGATCAGTGTTTCTCAACCAGTAGTCGGGGACCCCCCAGTCGGTCCACGTTTTCGCTCTCACCCAGTTTCCCTAGAATGACGCAGCCCCTGAATTCGGATGCAGCGATTATGTGGGAGTTTGAGTCTTGCCTGTGCTGTTTGTGGAGACCAAAGACGCGCGGAGTTCGATAGACTGCAATCCCGAACTGACCCATAACGTGTGATTGTATGCGCATTCTGTAGCGCTGGCTTCCCGTCCAGGCTGTTCCCATGCCCATTACTGCCTGGGACATGGGTCAGGTGCCCCGCGTCACTGTACTCAATACTGTAAGTGGTTGAAATATGGATGTCACTAAAACTTATTTTTCTTTTCATACTGGTTGTTATGGTCTACCGTTTCTCCACTTGGATTCTGTATCTAACATGGTACTGATTAACTGACCAAACAGATAAAAAAAAAAAAAACTAATCCGTTTTAACTATGTGCAGGGATTGACGCAACTTTCTAAGCAAGTACGCATACGCAATCGGTTGTTGCAACAGCGCAAATATGTACGTATTTTATGTGCATTTGCGACGATATGACAGGAAATTATCGTGCATTTTAACCTCTATACCGCAAATGAAGTACGAATTAGCATATAAATGTTAAAATGCACGATACTTTCTTGTAATATCGGCGCAAATGCACATAAAATACGTACGTATTTGCGCTGTTGCAACAATCGATTGCCTCACGTATCGCTTTTAAAGATGAATGCGTACTTGCGTAGCAGTTGTGTCCAACCCTGTTTGTGTATGTATGTGCGGCTTCATGTCCCACTAAACCAAGCTGCGGTTAGCAGGGAAAGCGCACTTGGAAATGCATTTAAGTTGATATGCAGTACCGCAGTATAACCACCAGGTGGCAAAAGGAACCCACAGTGGTGTCTCCTTCATTCGGTTTCATTTCTTTGACATAGTTGAAAATGCGATATTTTGTTCTATATTTTTATCCTCAAATTACTACATGGCCAAAAACCTGCCCACCCTTTGAATTCATTAATTAACATTCATATTTAACTTTATGCTACATATGAAAGACAACCAATCATATTCTTCAAGACACTGGAAATTAAGCTGTGTCAGTACCCAGATGTTCACGCTTATTCTCTATTTCTGTATTCTTGGTGCCCTTGGCGTTCCTCTTCCTCCTTTTCCAATTTGGAAGTCGTAGTTACAAACAGGATACGCTTACTTCCGCAAAAGTGAAGGTACCGTAAAGCAGCTGAATTTCCAAGCCAGAATTGGACGCATCGGTACTTCACTGGACCGGATCGTTTTATGTTTGAGCATTTTAACTGCAGACGAGGTACGTGCATGCAAGAGATGCATACTGTAACCCCGTGTCTGTTGCATGCAGTCGCGACGTAAACACAGCCATGTGACTGAGCTGCGCCGTAGCGAGCCCAGATCCCAGTCGCTGGACCGTCTATTGCAGTTCGTACTTTTAGCGCGATACTTAAGGTGGGATCTGCCGTGTAATATGCTGATGCCCACGGCTCCCTCCATCACGATCCATCTGCGTTTCTCCCACGAAGGCAATGAAACCGCTCACTGCGTAGTTAACACCCCCCGATCAGACCGCAGGTTATTTGCGCAGCACATGGAGTAGGTGTGGTTGTAAACTCTCCAGTGCGTCTCTCTGCCTTTTTTCTTTTTTCCCTTTTTCCAAACAACGAGCCACAACATGCATCACTCCAGGCTGTGCGTTGGCAAAAGGGACTCTGCCTTAACCGTGTTCTTACTCTTTCCGGAGGTCCGCAGATTAGCCGGAGGCGTGTGAGAGAGAGGCACCCCCGCATGCGACTGCGCTCGGGCTGAGGAAGGTCGACGTGTTTGGGGGCTGCGTTTTTATCTTACAGACCGGGGAATAACCGAACTTCGCCTCTTCGAGCAGAGAACAAGCCGCATTTTTATTTCTTTATTTCATTTCTTTTCGTAGAAAATGGGAAGCACCGTGATGGACAGTAAGAAAACAGACATGAAGAAAAAGGTCCCTAAGAAGAGGAGGTCGCTCCGGCTGAACATGCCCGTGAGTCCTTCACTTTTTGGGGAGCCCATGTTGATACCCCCTGGCCGGGGGTCCGGAGGCGGGGGCGTCCTAAGTGATGGTTATGGCCAGGAGGCGGATTTGCCATCACAACACGTTATTGTTATCATCTGCACTTAACTCCCTTTGTAAATCGCTACTGTGTATATAATCTGCGACGCAGGTTTACCGGTAATGAAACCCTGCTCCGTGCTAATTCCTGTTTTTGAGACAAGCAGACGCGAGTTTCTTCTTGTGTGAAATATAAATGTAGAATATAAATCGGCGTATGAAATTTTAAGATTTTTTTTTTTTCATTTTATTTTTGACAAATTAGTAATACTATTATGGTATTTTTCGTTTTAACGGTTATTGTTATGTGATTGATTATTGCCATTTAGTGAACAACATTTCACATTCCATGTGAATTTATTTTGGTACTCATAGTAGCCTAGCTAGACAGTATTAAAGAGTTAAGCTGACTATGTAGGGCTGGGATGTATTGGGGTAGGGGACATTATAGATTTCATTCATGGGATAAGCGATTCTAGACCCTATAAGCCACCCTGGAAAATATTATTCTAAATCAATTTAGGGACTTCGTCCCGTATTTCTTGGGGTCTCCCCAAGTGTCACATCCTAGAATCGTGCATGTGACAAACCAATAGGCCTGCTTAATCTAACTGATAGGAGATACTTAAATAAAATTGTATCACATAAGCAAAGATAGTCGCTGTTGGTGCCAGCATTAGAAAGACCGTAATAACTACACGTAAACAGTTCAAGGATGTCTGCCGGTCTCTGTTGCCAGATATTCACTATGCATGTCCTCCGGTAAATGTGTCCCACGTGTGATGCGATAAGCCTTAGCGTCAGACAGAGGTGGCGGGTGTGCGCTTATCTCTGAGTGTACGGTGCACTTTGAACGGCGCCGTGGGTCGCGCTTTAATGCCTGTAATGTAAAGTGTTTTTTGCACAACATTAAGCACCGCAGACCTAACTCCGCTCAGCAGATGGTGTTAACCCGGGATCATCGCGGTTCTGGTTCGGCCCGTTTCAAGTAAGACAGAGGGTCTACATCAGGGATTTTACCATTATGCTTAGTGGGTAAAGCCACGAGAAGCTCCAGGCCGGCTGTAATTAACGGACTTGTCACGCCAAGGAAATTTTAGGTTTCCCCCTAAAACAATAAGTAAGAGACTCATTAAGAGGGGATTTGTTTCAATGCAGAAAACGACTGACTCTCTCATTAAGTGTTTGCTTAAATATTAGATAAGTATTAATGTTTTAATCGTTAACGTAATGGATACATATTTTATGTTCTTCTTAAAAACGGCGCTTATTTAAAAAAAAAAAAAAAAATGCCTCAAGATTCTGTCTTGCAATAATTTATTTACCAGACGCTTTTGTCGAAAGTGGCGCACTAAGCGCGAGCAAGGAGCTGTCAATGAGCCAACTCGGTAATAGTGGTACTAGATAAGGCTGTGCAAACTGGTAAAAAGGAAGAAAAAAAAACAGGGGAAAAAGAAAGGTGATGTAAACAGATATTGCAGTAATCCGGGGAACGGTGTGAACACAAGTGCTATGTAATAGAAGAACTGTATCGATATGGCTACACAGATAAGCTGTAGCCTATAACTCGCTGTCCTCAATATTCAGGTACAGTGTGCTCCTTTTGACTAGCCCCACTGCAGCAAGCTGGAATGCACCCGGTGATGGTAATGCAGCTGATTTATGGGGTCGGGATGTATCCTTGGCTGAAGCCCAACGTGCCTTTTTATAGTGGCCTGTGATACACGGTGAAGCAGGGCCTGGTTTGTTGTTCCCGAGGCCCCAACGAAAAAGTCGCTTTGGGGCTCCCCCATTATAGTGACTGTGGCCAAAAGGGAGATCCCAGGAGCATCAAGCTGGCCGTCTTTCTCGCTCCCTTTCTCTTCCTGTCGTTCCCGAGAGTCTGTCCATCTCCGTTAAATGTGTGTTTTTTTGCATTTTGTCGCTTCGGGGGCCGTCGGGTAGAGCAGGGGCGCTGGGAGAAAAGCGGGAAGTCGAGGAAACATCTGCAATGGCGAAAGCTGCTCTAAGCCATTGAGTCACGGTCGCAGTGCCGCACTGAGGCTGCCAGAAGTCCGCCTGCTTCTTCATTTTAACATCCACAGCCTTAACCCCTCGTGTCCTTCAGGATTTAGGCCTTGGGTGCATGTTGATTTAAATCATCTTCGGCACTGAGAATACTGAAAGCCATTAATTTTTTATTTATTTGGTTTGTAAACCATTCATCCTCTCAACACGACAGTGGAGTCGGGGTTGATGTGGTCTCACCCCTCTTGAAGGTTTATTGGAGGCAGACTATCAAAATGCACAGAAGATGGTGGTCTTCTGTGCTAAATCCATCTCTATTTTACCATGCCGACATGCGTATGCCCTGTGTACTTGCTTAGGCTCTGTTTATGTGCACAGTAATTTTTCTGTTCTCCCATTTTACCTTTCCGCATGTTCCTGATGTGAATCGAAACCATGACAGGATTGCAGCATTGCATGAGACTATTGGTGGTGTCTGGCTTAGTGGTTTAGGAGGCAGAAGGTTGACAGTTCAGATCCCAGGGTCAGCAGAAACCGCTGTTGGACCCTTGAGTGAGGCCCTTAATTCCCAAAAGCTCCAAGAATGGGCTGAACTGCTTTCTGGAAAGTGTGCATCGCATTGCTTAAAGGCATCCGCTGAATAAATACTGTGTGAAATTCTCACGGATAATTCCACCTGTTATTGTTTAAACCAGGAGTGGCCAATCTTATCCGCAAGGGACCAGTGTATATGCAGGTTTTTGGGATAACCTTTGGGTCAGCTGTTCAAACCCAGGTGTGAGGACTCTTCAGCCAATCAGTCCTCTAATTAATAATCTAAGTAGGGAGTTGCAGTGAAACCCTGCATAAACAGCAGTCCGTCCTGGGTAAGATTGCCCACCGCTGGTTTAAATGCTCCAAGGTTTCTTTACCTCTATGCCCTGTGGATTTATCATCAGTCATCCATAGTGTGTCAGCCCTATTTGATAATCTGACCGGATATAATCCTCGCCTGAAGTAATCCCGTTACATATTTTTTTTTGTGTTTATGGTCTCAGATAAATCAGCCATAACATCTGAATTTCATTGCATCCTTTGAGTGCCGCTGCATTTGAGTACAAAAGACACGGATGAGCCAGTTCAGATTTTGTTTTTTTTTTTTTTTTTGGTCGTGTTCCGAGTTGCTCAGCTGCCAACTGAAATCGTGCGTGGAAACGTCACAGCGGGCCAAACCACAGACAGAACATGACCACAGCCCGGATGATCTGTAGACGTTTGGACTTCAATGAAAAAAATGCCTTTTAAACATTTTAATTTATGTATCCAGTCCAGAAGTGGTGAGTGAATGGTGTGTGCCCTGCGATGGGTTGGCACCCCATCCTGGGTTGTTCCCTGCCTTGTGCCCTGCGATGGGTTGGCGCCCCATCCTGGGTTGTTCCCTGCCTTGTGCCCATAGCCTCTGGGATTTACTCCAGACCCCCTGTGAGCCTGAGACAAGCAGTTACAGAAAATGGATGGATGGACAATCCAAAAGTGATTTCCACATTTGATTCCATAGATAATCAAACCATGTTTTGATTAACATATTGCAGTATTATCACACTAATCTTTCACACCGACACTCGTAAAATGCACAGACCTGTCTTGAAGTGCATCTGCCAGGGGTACGACCCTCTGGTGACCTTTTGGTAATCTGTCCCCTGCTGCACTCAGTGTTAATGGGTTGGTCAGTGTTTATCAGTAGAGAAGCAGAGACCTGCGACCTTCTTGAAGAGGGGGATCCTTTCATGTTATGGAAGGACGTTGAAGGTGGACCCAAAAAGTCTGCTTGATACAGTTAGGAATTTGTGCAAAGGATTGTTTGTCTTACCCAAAAGGCCTCTGGCTCCAGAATTTTTAGTTGTTACTGCAGCCGTGGACTCTATGCTGCTTATCCACTTGAAGTTTTTCTAAATATTGCTTTGTTGTTTTTATTCACATTTGAGAAGAAATAAAGGAACTTCATGCATATGGTGGATCGGGGGGGGGATTGAGGTGTCCTTTGCCGTCACTGTTCACAAGAGCCAAGTAGCGTCACGAGTCAACATTAAATGACGCACCGCGGGTCTGGTGTGACGTGTCCAGGACTCGTTCCGTAACCCAAGGTCCTTGGCATGTGACCAGATCGTGGATTTGAGGTGCTGTCGCCTAGGTTTCATGACAAGGTTTTCAATTAAAAGATAAACGGGGGGGATGTATAAAAATATATTTCCCATCAGAATGAGACCTTGGGGTAATTCGAGAGCGCTCTACAGTTCAGGTGGCTTTTGGCCTATCGATTTATGCTGAGTGCAGTGTTTCAGCGGGGAGGAGTGACCCAGCACTGTGTGTACGT